TCTGTATTGTACAAAATTTTAAAGCTATCAAAACAGTTGGTTTTGTTTTAGGTGCTTGCATCATCACATGGATGCCCAGTTTAGTTCTTTTTTTTAATTGAATGCTATTATTCTCTGGCATATAGCTGGGGAAAATTATGTACATAGATCTTTGTTGTATGGCCTTGGCTTGAGACAATTGCTTTTACTTCTTCAGCAATTAATCCATTCACATACTTCTTTAAAAATCAAGAGTTCCGCAAAGCCTTTCGTGATACCTTTCGCTGGTTGCCCTAAGGATGATTGATGCATCGAGAAAAGTACCAGGTTGGGTTGATTTCAGCTCGACACCTAATGGTACGAAATGGTGAGCGTTCTGTAGATAAAACAGATATAGAGACAGAGCTCTTATGGGGCATATCAAAGGAAACAGGACTTACCTTCTATCGACAAATTATGTCGAAACGGACTGCAACTTTAGTTTGCACATTTTTTTCGTAATATTAGTGACTTGGAATCTGACAAGAAAGTCGTCTTTGCAAGAATACCTAACTTTGCTTTCTCTTGAGTCTATGTACTTTGTCCTCACTTTATTTGTTTTCTTCTAACGGGTTTCTTTGACAGTTACCCATTGCCTTGTATGGTGCCAATTGCAAATAGATGTTTGTTAAGAATGAATATAGAACAGGTTTTATTTTAAGACGCTGGTTCAAGTTATTCCCCTTTTGTAACTGAATACGCCCATGGATATCAGGTCACTTAGCATCGATTCAGTGATCCTGGCTAGGATGATCAGATCAATTAAAAATATTTCTGGAGGAACTGATTGAATTCACTTGTTATTTCCAAGATATTTTCAGTGAAAATGTAAACAGAAGTCGAATTTTCGGAAATCAGCTTAAAATGGAACCCCTTACACCTATTTTCAGATTACTGCTTTGGCTTAAACCTTATAATGTTAGTTCGGAGAATTTGATATTGGATCAACAAAAAATCCCTTAATTGAAATTTTTCTTTATCCTCTTTGCTTATCTGCATGATATTCTCCTGACGTTGTTGGGAGAAATTCTGTCTCGGTCATACGTGGGAATTCAATGATTAACATCGTTGGCGGTACAGGTTTCCTCTGAACTTCCCGACCCCATGTTTTGTATTCAATGCTGACATAATGATTATGAGAAACGTAAGGATATAAGCATACAACCGCATTTTGTTAAAATCAGTTGTTATACTGATTTCGCAACGAGAATTATACAGAACTTTGCCGGAACATTAAGGGCCTCTTCATATGAGCGTAATTGACCGGGCTGGCCCGCTTACCGGGACGAATTTCGCCTTGAGTTCATATGAGAAAATTCAGCCCGGTTTCCGAGATGAGAAAAGGCCGAAGATCCTGGGGACGAGTTTTGGCGCGAAATTAGTAAAACAAAACAAAAATGGCGAAACGCAACCAAGTTATTACTTTTGCGCCTATTATGGCTTTGGCAACCCTTTTAGCTGTATCACTACAGTTAAACGGGTCGCTAATGATGTGGAAAATTCATCAGGCAAAGCAAAACGACGCCATTTGGCCGCCTTGTTTTTTATGTTTAAGGCGAACGGCCAGGCTCCCGTGAGGGCGGTGCAATGTCTGCCGAACTAAACATCTAATCCAACCCAAGGCGGAGAGTGCAATGTCTTATGGTTGGGTTCACCAATAAACAAGAGGGTCACCAGACACCAACTTCGTTGGGGAATCGAACCCCACCTCGCAAAAAAATAAACACACACGCACCAAAAATTAGACACACACTCGATAACAACAAGAAAACGATAATAATAACCCCTAGCCAGCCAAGGGGTGGCACGCAAACAAAAAACAATAATCATAACCCCTAGCCAGCCAAGGGGTGGCACGTAAAACAAAAACCCAAACAGTAATCATAACCCCTAACCAGCCAAGGGGTGGCACGCAAACAAAAAACAAAACAATAATCATAACCCCTAGCCAGCCAAGGGGTGGCACGTAAAACAAAAAACAAAACAATAATAATAACCCCTAGCCAGCCAAGGGGTAGCACGCAAACAAAAAACAAAACAAGTACAGCGACGACGGAAAGCGGACTATAACACGATTGACAGATGGCTACCA